GCGGGCGCGGGGGGGGCCTCGGGAGAGAGCGCGTGCCGAGGCCGGCGCCCTCCCGTCTGCAGTGGAGATCGGTGGTGGGGATGGCTGCACGCTGTTCATGTCTAGTTCTTCGAAAGTTCTTTGATTTTTTGGGGGGCCAGGATCCTTTCATTTCTGATTGTTCTATCCTGGGCCGATTTCTGGACACTAGGGGGCCAGGAGCAATTAGAAACGAGCACCACTGGAAGTGAGCACGATTAGGAATGAGCGACGTGTAACCTTCCTAATGGTACCCGTGCATCCTTGCATCTTCGGCCCATGCTTAACCATCTTCGATGGCCAGCACCTTTCGAAACGCTTCGACATGCGCGTCCAGGGGGCCGGCAGCCTTACCGCGCATCCCTACCATCAAGCTTGACTCTCGTCCCCCCACCTCCTCTCGCCGCGAGAAGATCACGACCTGCACGTCGTGGCCGGTTCTCGGCTTCCAGGGGCCCTCGCGGGGCCTCGGGGCCGTCCAGGACGCATGCGCGGGCTGCAGCACCGGTCGCCGGGAGGAGGAGGAGGAGGAGGAGGAGGAGGAGGAGGAGGAGGAGGAGGAGGAGGAGGAGGAGGCGGAGGAGGCGGAGGGGGCTCCAGGCCGTGCGGGGGCCGACGTCGCGACGGAAGGCACCGCGCCATGGGCCGCGGGGCGCCCGCGCGGCGCCCGAGCCCCCCTCCGGCCGCCGCCGAGCGCGGGCCGCCCCACGGGCCGTCGGCGTCGACGGAGCGTCTCGGGGCGCGGTGTGGGCCCGGCGCGGCCGCCGGGCGGGCTCGATGTCCCGTGCCCGCGCGGCGGCCGAGCGGAGAGCCGCGGAGAGCCCGCTCGGCCTCCAGGGGGAGAAAAGACACACAGACACGATGAATCGTCGGCTCCCCAGGAAATAGGGGAAACTGTGCGAAGCGGGGGGGGGAAGACAGACACCCCGAAAATATGGGAAAATATGGGAAATCCGTTTATTTGTGTGTGTATTTATCTGCGTGTCCCAGGGCCCCTTCAAGGCCCCCTCGCTCCCCGCCGCGCGGGGCCGCCCACAGGAGGGGGGCCATCTGGCCGCCGCAGCCGGGTGCGGAAGGAGTTCTGACTGAAGGTGCGCCAGGACACACAAATAAATACACACAAATAAAAAGATTCCCCATATTTTCATATATTTTCTGTGTTTTTGTCTTCCCCACCTTTTCCCATATTTTCCCATATTTTCTGGGGGATCGACGATTAATTGTGTCTGTGTGTTTTTTTCCCTCCTGACTGACCGAGCATCGAGCCATTCTTGTCTGCACGACCGAAATGGGCGCGGAAAGAATGGGTACAATGCCCAACAGCAGTTCCTGTTCATCTTGGACAGGATTCGCTGTCGGTGCCGCCGCGGCCTGTAACCGTTCGAGACAGAAGGCCGCCCGCCCAACAGCGGCCGCTGTTGGTTCGGGACAACATGTGCTGTTGGGCATTGTATCATTTTTTCCGTACCCATTTCGGGCGTCCAAACCAGAAGAGGGGCCCCCTGGCCGCCGCAGCCGGGTACGGAAGGAGTTCTGGCCGAGCATCGAGCTATTCTTGGCAGCACAGCATCGGCGTGCGCCCTTGCCGGCACTGTTGTGCAGGTTGTCTCCGCTGCCATCCTGCATCAAGATGTTTTCAGCCCGAGGCTGAAAATGCAAATGGCTTAAGCCATTCCGCCGAGCACCAGAAAGCCTTCGGGGAACACGGAGTCGGGCGAGCTATCAGACCAGGTGGTTTCCGAGCTTTCGGGCCTTCGGAGGACGTCTTGGAGGGGTCTTGGGCCATCTTGGAGGCCTCTGGCGGGCCTTTTGGGCAGTCTAAGGCAATCTTCAGGCCATCTGGGGCCGTCTTGGGTGCATCTTGGGGCCATCTTCGCCGTCTTGGAGGCCTTCTTGGCCGTCTTGGAGGCATCATCTTGACCGTCTTGGAGGCCATCTTGGGCGTCTTGGGGGCCTCTTGGGCCGTCTTGGGGTCTTGTTGGGGCCGTCTTGGGGGCCTCTGGGCTTGTCATGGGGCCATCTTGGAGGCCTCTTGGGCGCTCTTGGGGCGATGTTGGGGGCCTCTTGGGCCGTCTAGGCCGTCGGAGAGCTGAAAAGAAGAAAATGCCAACATCTTTCAAAACCCGATGGACAATCCATGATTTTGGCCTCTTCTGGCCTTCTGGTGGAGCTCTCGGAGGCCTCTTGGGGCCCTTTTGGGCAGTCTTAGGCCATCTTGGAGCCATCTTGGGCCGTCTTGGAGGCTTCTTGGACGAACTTGAAGCCATCTTGGGCCACCTTCGGCCCTCTTGGTGATATGTCTGCCGTCTTGGATGCCATCTTGGTCGTCTTGGAGGTCATCTTGGCAGTCTTGAGGTATCTTGGAAACCATCTTGGCCGTTTTTGAGACCTCTTGGGCCGTCTTGGGGCTCTCTTGGGGCTGGCTTGAAGGCCTCTTGGGTCGTTCTGGAGCCATCTGGGAGGCCTCTGGGACTAGTTTGGGGGCTCCTTGGGCCGTCCCAGGCGGTCGGAGAACCAAAACCTAGGAAAACAAACATCCTTCAAACACCAAAGGAAAATTCAAGATTTTGGCTCCCTCGGGCCTTCCTGGAGCACCTCTTGGACTCCTCTGGGGCTATCTTGGAACCTCTCGGGCCCATCTTGGGCCATTTAGCGGCCATCTTCCTGGCCGTCTTGAAGCTTATCTTGACCGTGTTGGAAGCATCGTGGAGGCCATCTTGGCCGTCTTGGAGACCGTCGTGGGCGTCTTGGAGGCCTCTGGAGCCGTCTTGGCGCCCTCTTGGGGCCGTCTTGGGGGCCTCTTGGGCCGTCACAGGGCCATCTTGGAGGCCTCTTGGGCGCTCTGGGGGCGATCTTTCGGGCTCCTTGGGCCGTCGTGAGCCGTCGGAAGGCTCGAAAAGAACAAAAGCCAAAATCCTTCAAAACCTAGGGAAAGCATTGATTTTGACCGCTTCGGGCTCTCGTGGAGGACCTCTTGGAGGCCTCTCGGGACGTCTTGGAAGCCTCTTGGAGGCCTCTGGGGCCGTCTTGGGCCGTCTTGGAGGCCATCTTGGACCATCTTGGGCGAACCTGGAAGCCATCTTGGCCATCTTGGAAGCCATCTTGGATTGGAGCCATCTAGAGCAGAACCAACTTTTGGACCAGCCTTTTCGGGACATTCCGGGACCCCTGCGGGCGGGGCCGAAACCCCAGGGGGAGTTCTTTGGGAAAAAAGCAAAACCAAAAGCGAAAGGATTTAACACGCCGGGCACCCCTGCGATGAATCAACAGGGGGCGGCGGATCGAAGACGCCTACGGCGAATCACCGCCGCCCCCTGCCCTTTCGGAAGCGCCGATGCGGCCGACTGCTGTGGCCAGAGGTCTGCCAAGTTATTGGGCCATATGTTCCCCGAATCGGTCTTTACAGCCTTCGGGGAACACGTGGGGGAGGACGGGGAGGAGAGGAGAGATAGGAAGGGGGGGAATGGAGGAGGAGGTCTCTTGAGTGCCTTTTTGGCTACTCTGGGTTTATATTGGGCCACATGTGCGGTCTTGGAAGCATCTTGGGGGCCTCTTTGGATGCCTTGCGGCCTTCCTGTTCTGCCTGACGCCGTCTGGGCTGGGTTGGGGGCCTCTCTGTGGCCTCACTTGGGTTTATCGTGGCCGTAGTGGACGCCAGCGTGGGCGTTTGGGAGATCTGCCGGGCCGTCTTGGGGCTGTCTTTGGGGCCGTTTTGGGGCTTTCTTGTGCCGTCTAGGGGCGTTCTTGGAGGCCTCTTGGACTGTTCTGGGGCGCTCTTGGAGGCTTATTGGGATGTCGCGGAGTTTTGGAAAGCCGAAAAGACGATATACACAAGATCTGTTCGGACCAATATGAAATGAACGGTAATGGTCTCTCGGGGCGTTCTTGGAGAACATCTTGGAGGCCTCTTGGGTGCTGTTGGGGCGATGTTGGGGACCTCTTGGGCCGTCTTGGGCCGTCGGAGAGCTGAAAAGAAGAACATGCCAAAATCCTTGAAAAACCTAAGGAAAATCAATGATTTTAACCTATTCGGGCCTTCCTGGAGGGCGTCTTGGAGGGCTCTTGGGCCGTCTTGGAGGCCTTTTGCGGGCCTTTTGGGCCGTCGTAGACCATCTTGAGGCCATCTTGGGCCGTCTTGGGTGCATCTTGGAGCCATCTTACCCGTCTTGGAGGCCATTTTGGCCGTCTTGGAGGCATCTTGGAGGCCATCTTGGGCCATCTTGGCCGTCTTGGAGGCCATCTTGGGCGTCTTGGAGGCCTCTTGGGCCGTCTTGAGGCCCTCTTGGGGCCTTCTTGGGGGCCTCTTGGGCCGTCATGGGGCCATCTTGGAGGCCTCTTGGGTGCTGTTGGGGCGATGTTGGGGACCTCATGGGCCGTCTGGGGCCGTCGGAGAGCTGAAAAGAAGAACATGCCAAAATCCTTGAAAAACCTAGGAAAATCAATGATTTTAACCTATTCGGGCCTTCCTGGAGGGCGTCTTGGAGGGCTCTTGGGCCGTCTTGGAGGCCTTTTGCCGGCCTTTTGGGCCGTCTGAGACCATCTTGAGGCCATCTTGGACCGTCTTGGGTGCATCTTGGAGCCATCTTACCCGTCTTGGAGGCCATCTTGGCCGTCTTGGAGGCATCTTGGAGGCCATCTTGGGCCATCTTGGCCGTCTTGGAGGCCATCTTGGGCGTCTTGGAGGCCTCTTGGGCCGTCTTGAGGCCCTCTTGGGGCCTTCTTGGGGGCCTCTTGGGCCGTCATGGGGCCATCTTGGAGGCCTCTTGGGTGCTGTTGGGGCGATGTTGGGGACCTCTTGGGCCGTCTTGGGCCGTCGGAGAGCTGAAAAGAAGAACATGCCAAAATCCTTGAAAACCTAAGGAAAATCAATGATTTTAACCTATTCGGGCCTTCCTGGAGGGCGTCTTGGAGGGCTCTTGGGCCGTCTTGGAGGCCTTTTGCGAGGGGCCGTCTTAGGCCATCTTGAATATCTTGGAGCATCT